GGTGGTTGGCCAATTAATCTGGTTGACCCCTGGCTGAGCTGTTGGCCATCCTTTTGTGTCTAGGAAACTCGGTTAGGACTGCCCCCCAGAACATGGTCTGGTTAATACCAGAGTCAGATTTCTCTCTTACAGCATTGCCACATTTTACCAGAAAAATAAGCAGGAGCAAATGGAGTTTTCAAATACCTTACACAGTAAGCATTGAACATAGTCCAGTAAGCACCAGGCCCTCTTTCTAACTGCTAGAAATTAGACTTGCCCCAGGCCCTGCCGCTGCACCCACCATAACACACACAGCCAGGCTCCCTCTGTTCTGGGGCTGGGCTGAGAGCCACTGCAGCCTGACAAGGTGGCTGAGAAGGCAGTCCTGACAGTCTGATAACTTGATGCCTCTCTCCATATGTTCAACCCCTTGCATCTCCCTTACAAGAAGAGTTGCCATGCAACTGAATTTTTTACTTCTGCTTTTGGTGGCCAATGAATACTTTAGACAACATTGGCATCCAAACAGAAGTAAAACATTGTTGCATGGCAACCCTTCTTGTAAGGGAGATGGCAGGGGGTTGAACATATGGCAATGTGTGACAGTCTATATCCATCTGTTTAATGTGAGCTTTTTATTACTAGCTACAGCACCACTTACTGGGGCAGTTTTGTAGTACTGGACTAAGCGTACTTTCTTTTGCATAGGTTTAGTTAATTAGTTTCAGTAATTTACCCAGAACAATTTTGTAATTAGAAAAAACTTACTTGCTTTTAGCTAGTTCCACTTTAGCTCACAAAGCAGATTTTATGAAGGGCAATGAGGCCCAGTGGTAAAAAATAGTTTCAGGGTGGTTTCACCCTCTTACCCATTGGTGCACCAACTCTGGGTATTCAGGGGCTCCAGTACCCGGAGAGAAAAAACTAGAGAGTACCCTCTTACCCATTGGTGCACCAACTCTGTGGGTATTCAGGGGCTCCAGTACCAGGAGAGAAAAAACTAGAGTACCACCCAGCACCCATACAGATGGCTGGGGCTGGCTATGTACCCCCCCTCAGGTCTTAAATAGCTGCCCTACCTTTTTAGTTGAGTGCGACTGCTCTGACACTCAGTCCTTTCTGCATCCCCCTCATTGCCTTTATGTAGAAGGGGAAGAAATGAGCAAGCAGGAGGTGGCTCAGGGAAGGGGGCAGAATATGGGAACTGTTCTTGGGGGGGGGGGAGAGGAGGAGGGTTTGAAGTGGGGCAACCAGCTGGCAAAAGCAAAAGAAGCACATGTGGCTACAACTGTCACACACAGCTATTCACCTTAGCTGTTTTTAAATGGAATATTTGAAGTGAATATTATAGGTGTGGGGCAGATTTGTGAGGCCTGCCTAGCAGGAAGGAGTTCAGCTTGCCCTTGACTGTTCTGTAAAAGGAAATTCAATCTTTTGCACAACTGTACCTCCTGTGTAGCCCGATGTAGTGAAGGCTGCCATCCAGGAGCACCTCATTAGCAGATGCAGAAACAGTGCTGTTTGAGGGACCATGCTCGCAGGTGGAAGAAATAGAACTAGCCCTCTTCTGGCAGATCCTCATAATCATTGCATCATTAGAGGGCTAGAGAAATGAGTGCTGTTTGGGCCACTGCTTGTTGTCTATAATCATTACTTATGAGTGTAGGTAAAATGGAGAAGCAGGTGTGATACATAAAATGCAAGAATCTGGTTCTTGTGTAAGATACAAGTGTAAGTCTTGGCATTAGCTTTACTCCAATTTTTAGTGAATAGTTTAAACCTACATAGGGGCTTACTAACCTGTGAAGTGGGTCTTCCACAGTGTAATTAAATGTATAATGAAGTGTTTGTAGCTAGGTTGAGAATCTTGGGTGAGACTGTAAACCATTAAGGAATGCACTTATTTATACTCAACGGATATTTCATCACCCAGCGAACATCAACTGTCAACTCACGTATCTGTTCTGGAAAGTCTGTGGATTAAAGCAATCCTTCAGATAACTGGTAATTGTAACTGTAGCAGCTCTAAAGGAAACAATATGCCTGTAAAACATCTGAAAATACGTTACAAAAACAAATACTGTTCATAAATAGTTAACCAACCCCTCTAACACTAGCTTGCAAAGCATTATTTTGCAGTTAATATAATGTAATGTTAAATTCTTCTAACATGTAAAATAGTCTCTTGTACAGAACTTAAGCTGTTTAAAATAGATGTTTCAAATAATTGCAGAGATGCATCCAGATGTCTATGATATTCAGAATAAATGTATTTAAAATTTAGTTAACTATCTTATTTTGTCCTTGAGTGTTTTTTTTTTAATTCCTAATGTTCAAGTCAAAACATGGTTACTTTAGGAGGAACATCTCACAACAGACTTGGTTTCTAACAACACCTGGGTTAAGTGACTACGGTATAACACACTATTGCTCATAAGTTAGACTTCTAATCTATTGTGATTCTAATGTGAGCCCTACTAACCAGCTAAATGACAAATCTTTCTTCCTTCTTGGAAGCAGAAACACAAAACAGACACGTGCCACACCACATCAGCTGACAGTGCGGTGGAGAGTTACTGGCATGAAACCCTGAGCTACTGCCTTTCTGCAGCTGTATAGGAAGTGGGAGGTGGGGGCATCCCCTGTATGTGTTCCAAGAGAGGTAGCAGCTGTTGGGAAGAATGCAGGACAAGTAGATTCATTCTGAGTTCAGCAATGTAGTTTTGAGCAGCAGAACTATGATTTCAGTCCTTGAGTGCTTGAGATCAGTGCCAGAGATCAGTGCCAGAATGCCATTCTCAATACCAGCATTTAAATGGCCCATTTAAAATGTGTGTTCAGCTTGTCAAGGCCTGTTGTCAGAAGTGTTAGTTCACAGAAGGGAAGGGAGATTTACTTTGCAGGGTTTCTAACAAGTCTTGTCAAAAGGAATGTATAAAGAGCCAGTGTAGGAACATGGCTTTGGCTTCCCAAACCCCTAGAGCATCAGGATCTGTGGGGAAGGGCCCCCTAAACCTGTGAAGAGACTGTTTTGTCCTTACTCTTGTCATGGCCCTCTCTTTTTCCATGCAGGAACCAGGCTCCAAAGAGGTACCTAGACTGTGTAAATTACCTCTGACAAAGTGATAGTTGTTCCTACAACAAAGCCTTTTCTTATTGAATACTATGTAGCTGCGGAGAGAGGTTAAAGTGTTCAGATTTTATTTCTGCCCATTACATGTTATATCTGAATATGTATATCACAGTACTAATATACATACATTTTAATGTGCATTAAATTTGGGAAACCTAGCGCAAATACAATCAAGGATCAAATTATAGCAGATCACTTCTAAAGATTTTAGAAACAACATCCACTATGATAAACAATTATAATTATACGCTTGGTACATGAATACAGCTTATTCTTTAGAAAGTGAGTGTGGAATTTTAGATTTTTCCCAGAAAGAGGTAGTGTTCAAACATGTGCACTTCTGGGAGGATCTGAAATGTAGGGGTTGGGGAGAAGAGAAATGTGGATAGATGCTAATGGAAAGGTGTTAGAGTCTGAGATTCAGCCACTTTTTTTCATACCATTGTAGTACTTAATACTATCAGCTAACTGTATCTCCTTATGTAAAGAAATAGAACATGTGCTTGTTTAAGACACAGCTTCAGGCACATGACCTAGGAAAGAGAACCCATTCCTGCATTACCAGGAAGATTTCAATTTTCATAGGGGACTAAGTTGTTTTCTGGTATCCAATCAGCACCCTGATAAACCAATTCTTTAGTTAAATGAAAAACAAATATAAAAAGATGGAGAGTTAAAAAAATATATTAAACCTTGAATAAATAGATGTGATCAGGAATAAGTAAACAATGACACACAATACATTAATCAACACAAACTGAGACTTCTGTAAAAAATATAAGGCAAATAGTCATACTTCATCTATAATGCGGCATTTGATAAAAACCTTGATTGTTACTTAGCCCATGTCCTCCCATAACTTCGTTTTTAAGCCACTGCAATATAAAAATACAAAAGGTACATTGTTACGCTTCATTTGGGTCCAAAGTCTCACCCATTTTCCTCTCTCATCTCTTTGCAAATCCTGTATCACGCAAAATCCTGTATCAGATAGTCAACTAGTCCCTCAACTAGGTGCTCCCCCCCTTGTTGCCTTTATCAGAGGCAGCAAGGGGGGGAGGGGGGAGAACAGGAGCTGGTGCTTGGGGGGAACTAACTTAAAAGCCAGTTCCCCCCAGCACCATCTCTGCAGAAGGCAGGATGGTAGTGGGGACTAGGCGCGAGCCTGGAATCAGTTGATTCCTAGCTCACGCAGGGTCCCACCTCCTGCACACCTGCCTTTTAAACGTATTAAGGTTATATGTATAGCTCTTTAAAAGGCTACAGCGCAATAGGAGGGACACTGCCCGAGCTGGAACAGCTGATTCCAGCTGAATATTTAAATACATTTAAAAGGCTGGGGCGCAGTGAGGGTGGGGGACCCTGCGTGAGCCAGGAATCAGCTGTCCTGGCTCACACTCAGTCCCTCCTGCTGCACTTTAGCCTTTTAAATGTATTAAGAGCCAACAGGCTCTTAATACAGCCTCAGCAGGGTTAGTTCCCAGGATGGGAACTAAACCTGGTGCACCTCTCCACTTATCAGCTAATCAACAAGTTGATGGAAAATCCATCGACTTGATTAAATGACGAAACTAAATTGTTTTTCCATCCCTAGTGGGGAGGAAGGCATGAAAGGGCAGGGAAGATCCCTGAAGAAACAGTTATTCCAACAGATTTTTCCAAACAAGTTTTTTTTTTTTAAATGGCTCACAATGCAACCTCAAATTTGACAATTCTTTTTAAAGAATCATTTTTGTGCAACACAATCATTACATATTTTTTAGCTATACATGTAACCTGGAAGACAAATTTCTCAAAGTCTAGACTTTATCTTGAATTATGATTTTGACTAAACGCATTGGATTCTATCAAAAATACAGAACTATGGAGAATATATTTCATACTTTCTTCTAATCTGAGGTACATAAAAATATTTTTTGGCAAAGCACTCAATAAAACCTACACAAGAAAAAGAGAGTGAAGTCAAGTGGTAGTTAAGATTTGCAGGCATTATTTGGAGTCGTCATTTTGTAGATCATCCTCCTCAACCATCCTGCTTCTACTAGAGTCACAGTGCACTCCTAGCCTAACTCGCTCTCCATACGGGCCAAGCTCTTCCAGCTGTTTTTTCTGTGTGGTTTCCAGATCTTCCAGTCGCTTGCGAAGTAGAGAGAGCTCCCTTTGATGCTGTTCCTCCTTGGAGTTAGGGACAACGCGCAAAAAAAAAAAAAAAAAAAAAAAAATTACATTTTGTAACCCTGGCAAGAGCATTGTCCCCTACTCCCTGTCCCCTTTACTTAAAAAAAGTGCTTTTAAAGTTACTTATGTGAAAAAAAGATTTGTTGCTTTAAATTATTTTATTGGCTTTCAAACATTGCCCCTGACATTAACATGAACAGCAGTGGGGAATGTATATATGAATGAGGAGTGCTACCTGGGCAATGCACATCAGAAACTAACAAATGGACACAGCTGGAGAGGCAAGAGCCAACATCAGTACAACCTCTCAGGGGAAAAGCAAACTATGTGGTCAGAGGGAAGCAAAGGGAGCTGACTCTTCTACCGTGGCTTCACTACAAAACAATGCAGAATGTATTCCATTCTTTCTTCTAATCTGAGACACATACAAATATGTTTTTGGCAAAGCACTGAATAAAATCTGCACAAGGAAAAAAGTAGTAAAGTCAGGATAGCTGCTCTAGAGATGGGAGCACTTTCACAAAATTAAAACAGTTCTTGATACAACACAGCAACAGACTGCCCAGATAAGTCTAAAACGCTATCCACAAACCACCACCACCACCAATTTTTGTAATTGCGTAACAAAAATGAAGCAAAAGATTACCATCTATGTATTGAGCATTATTAGGCCACAATGATGGCATTACTCCTCCCTTTATGCTTATAAACAGTATGTCTGATTACTAGCTTAAATAGCCTAGACTATTAGTGCAGAAACCACTTTTGTAACCACTATTTATGCCCCAGTTTAGTAACCAACTCCATCCTTTGCTACACTATATGAAATAATGTGAATGTAAGTAATAGTTACTACATCATCACCTGCACATGGGGAAAAGTTATTTCAGGCCTGGGCACTAAAGTAGACGAGATCCCGTTGACTCTTTTGAGTGACGGTATGTTAGTAACCAGAATTAAACTCCGGAATTCATCGTGTCTGCGCTGTAAATCCTTTAGTCTTTTCTGAAGGCGTGTGTATTCTTCATAGGGAACGTTCTGTCTATGAAATAAGATATTTTCAAAATGCTTAGAGTCCATATCACAGAATCATCTCTCTCTAACACATTGCTAGATACACTTCCAATAAAAACTGCTTCAGATTGGATGTGTATAGTACAAAAAGAAGCACTTTGTGCTGTAAAAGGGACTTCCCAAATTTTAATCTCAAATGATATAAAATATAGACTTATAGATTTAGAATGTACTCAGCAGCAGAAAAATAAATATAAATGTTAATGTTACATTCACATTAGTGAGCAGCACTATAGTTAAGACTACTTTTTAATTCAAAGATGAGTTAGACCCTCCATATGCTCTAAAGGTAGTGGAATACCTAGGAACTCCCTCAAGCGGATTTTAGACCGGTTCTTTTACATCCTGCTGGGTTGTTTCCCTGTTTTTCCCTCCCAATTATATGCACATCTGTGATGCTACTCGTTTCACACACTGAACCCTGCTATTTCTTTTAACCTTCCCTTAGCACTGTTATTCCCAGTCCTCCTCCTCAAGAGACTCCTGATACGGTCACACACTCTTTATAGCCTCTTTCCCCAACTGTCCAAAATATGATTGCAATAGAACCTTCTGATGCAATCCTCCTACTGCAGTCTGATCAGTGTCTAACTAGCATAAGAGAATGAACATCACTGTGTGTGTACCCCACTATCTGTTAACTGACCAGTGCATTCAACCACAGGGTGAAAGCCAGTCTCTCCTGGAAGAATTTTTTGTCACTGAGCAGGACAAGAAACAGATAATTTGCCTTCTTGGCCCACTAACATGATCTAATCATCCTCTTACTCCCCTCAGGCAGTAGTTCCCTATTTTACACATCAAATGTTGAACCTACTCTCTAAAAAGTGTAGAACAGAGCATAGCTGCCACTCAGTGAAATTTACAAGGAAAGCAGAGCTTGATTTGTGCTGGAGCTCAACTACAGTGCCTCTTTTCATGCTGAGGTGCATTCTTGGCACCTCTTCTGTCACAAGGACACCAGATTATGCTGTGCAGGGATGCCGTCATTACTGCTTGACCATTGGCACCTCTTTCTTTACAAATTAAGCACTAAAGGAAAGTAAGGATGGAGATCAGTGTTTCATTTCCAGTCTAAGTTGGATGGACATGTCAGGCAATTGGTAAACCAAGGATTTGTTAAAGTGAAAACCAAATCAGTTGCTTGTCCTTTTGGAAAGGAGGAGCCTATACAGGAAGGATGCACATCATCTAAACCTAAATGGAACCAGACAGCTGGCACTTAAAATTAAAACTGCTGTAGAGCAGTTTTTAAACTAAAGGCAGGGGAGAAAGCCAATAGGTGCAGAGGAGCACATGGACTGGACAGAGACATCCATTAGGGAAGGATCTATTAATAAAAATTCTCTATGTCCTAGTAAAGAGGAGAGGATAAAAGATAAGATCTGTGTAAGATCAGATAAGAAACAAAATGAAAAAGTTGCATTCAATTTCATTAGGTTAGCTGCCAACATTTTAGTAGGCAGCTAAATAGTGATAAGCTTTTGAAGTGCTTATATACAAACACTAGAAATTTAAATAATAAGATGGGTGAACTAGAGTGCCTCATTGAATGAAGATATTGAAAAAATAGGCATCACAGAAAATAGGTGAATCAGGATAATCAATGGACATAGTAATACCAGGGTACAAAATATATCAGAGAGAGAACAGGTAGTGTTGTTGGGGGAGTGGCAATATATGTGAAAGAAAGCGTAGAATCAAATGAAGTAAAACTCTTAAATGACCAAACTGTACCATAGAATTTGTATAGATAATAATTCCATGCTCTAATAATATGAATATAGCAATGTGATCTATTACCGACCACCTGACCAGGAGAGTGACAGTGACTGTGAAATGCTAAGTTGATCCTGGCAATTACAGACTGGTAAGTCTAACTTCAGTGTTATGGTTTCAACCAATTTCCCTGGTAAAGAACAGAACTTTCATGCATATAAATGAACATAATTTGTTGAGGTAAAGTCAACATGGAAATCATGCCTCACTAATCCACGAGAATACTTTGAGAGGGTTAACAAGCACGTGGACAACATAAATTCAGCGAGGAGTCCTGTGGCATCTTATAGACTAACTGAAGTGTAGGAGCATAAGCTTTTGTGAGCAAAGACCCACTTCGTCAGATGTCAGATTCCGCTTTTGCAGATTCAGACTAACACGGCTACCCCTCTGATACTTGACAACATACATTCAGTGGATATAGTGTATTTAGATTTCCAGAAATTCTCTAACAAGATCTCTCATCAAAGGCTCTAAAGCAAAGTGAGCGGTCATGGGATAAGAGGGAAGGTCCTCCCATGGACTGATAACTGGTTACAAGCTAGGTAACAAACAGTAGGTTTTCAGAATGGAGAGAGGTAACTAATGGTATCCTATAAGGACCAATCCTATTCAACATATTCATAAATGATCTGGAGAATGGGATTGTGAGGTGGCAAGATTTGCAATGATACTACACTGCTCAAGACAGTTAAGTCCAAAGCAGACCGTGAAGTGCTTCAAAAGGATCTCGCAAAAACTAGGTGACTGGGCGACAAAATGGCAGATACATTTTAATGTTAATTACAAAATAATGCACAAGAACATAAGAATGGCCATATGGGTCAGACCAAAGGTCCATCCAGCCCAGTACCCTGTCTGCCGACAGTGGCAAATGCCAGGTGTCCCAGAGGGAGTGAATTGAACAGGTAATGTGATCAAGCGATCTCTCTCCTACTATCCATCTCCACCCTCTGACAAACAGAAGCTAGGGACACACCATTCCTTACCCATACTGGCTAATAGCCATTTGGACTTAACTAGATAAATTCATAGAGGTTCTCCTTTAAACCCTGTTATAGTCCTAGCCTTCACAACATCCTCAGGCAAGGAGTTCCACAGATTGACTATGCACTGTGTGAAGAAGAACTTCCTTTTATTTGTTTTAAACCTCCTGCCCATTAGTTTCATTTGGTGGCCCCTAGTTCTTATATTATGGGAACAAGTAAATAACTTTTCCTTATTCACTTTCTCTACACCACTCATGATTTTATAGACCTCTCATCCTCTTACTCCACTCAGGCAGTAGTTCCCTATTTTACACATCAAATGTTGAACCTACTCTCTAAAAAGTGTAGAACAGAGCATAGCTGCCACTCAGTGAAATTTACAAGGAAAGCAGAGCTTGATTTGTGCTGGAGCTCAACTACAGTGCCTCTTTTCATGTTGAGGTGCATTCTTGGCACCTCTTCTGTCACAAGGACACCAGATTATGCTGTGCAGGGATGCCGTCATTACTGCTTGACCATTGGCACCTCTTTCTTTACAAATTAAGCACTAAAGGAAAGTAAGGATGGAGATCAGTGTTTCATTTCCAGTCTAAGTTGGATGGACATGTCAGGCAATTGGTACACCAAGGATTTGTTAAAGTGAAAACCAAATCAGTTGCTTGTCCTTTTGGAAAGGAGGAGCCTATACAGGAAGGATGCACATCATCTAAACCTAAATGGAACCAGACAGCTGGCACTTAAAATTAAAACTGCTGTAGAGCAGTTTTTAAACTAAAGGCAGGGGAGAAAGCCAATAGGTGCAGAGGAGCACATGGACTGGACAGAGACATCCATTAGGGAAGGATCTATTAATAAAAATTCTCTATGTCCTAGTAAAGAGGAGAGGATAAAAGATAAGATCTGTGTAAGATCAGATAAGAAACAAAATGAAAAAGTTGCATTCAATTTCATTAGGTTAGCTGCCAACATTTTAGTAGGCAGCTAAATAGTGATAAGCTTTTGAAGTGCTTATATACAAACACTAGAAATTTAAATAATAAGATGGGTGAACTAGAGTGCCTCATTGAATGAAGATATTGAAAAAATAGGCATCACAGAAAATAGGTGAATCAGGATAATCAATGGACATAGTAATACCAGGGTACAAAATATATCAGAGAGAGAACAGGTAGTGTTGTTGGGGGAGTGGCAATATATGTGAAAGAAAGCGTAGAATCAAATGAAGTAAAACTCTTAAATGACCAAACTGTACCATAGAATTTGTATAGATAATAATTCCATGCTCTAATAATATGAATATAGCAATGTGATCTATTACCGACCACCTGACCAGGAGAGTGACAGTGACTGTGAAATGCTAAGTTGATCCTGGCAATTACAGACTGGTAAGTCTAACTTCAGTGTTATGGTTTCAACCAATTTCCCTGGTAAAGAACAGAACTTTCATGCATATAAATGAACATAATTTGTTGAGGTAAAGTCAACATGGAAATCATGCCTCACTAATCCACGAGAATACTTTGAGAGGGTTAACAAGCACGTGGACAACATAAATTCAGCGAGGAGTCCTGTGGCATCTTATAGACTAACTGAAGTGTAGGAGCATAAGCTTTTGTGAGCAAAGACCCACTTCGTCAGATGCATGTCAGATTCCGCTTTTGCAGATTCAGACTAACACGGCTACCCCTCTGATACTTGACAACATACATTCAGTGGATATAGTGTATTTAGATTTCCAGAAATTCTCTAACAAGATCTCTCATCAAAGGCTCTAAAGCAAAGTGAGCGGTCATGGGATAAGAGGGAAGGTCCTCCCATGGACTGATAACTGGTTACAAGCTAGGTAACAAACAGTAGGTTTTCAGAATGGAGAGAGGTAACTAATGGTATCCTATAAGGACCAATCCTATTCAACATATTCATAAATGATCTGGAGAATGGGATTGTGAGGTGGCAAGATTTGCAATGATACTACACTGCTCAAGACAGTTAAGTCCAAAGCAGACCGTGAAGTGCTTCAAAAGGATCTCGCAAAAACTAGGTGACTGGGCGACAAAATGGCAGATAAATTTTAATGTTAATTACAAAATAATGCACAAGAACATAAGAATGGCCATATGGGTCAGACCAAAGGTCCATCCAGCCCAGTACCCTGTCTGCCGACAGTGGCAAATGCCAGGTGTCCCAGAGGGAGTGAATTGAACAGGTAATGTGATCAAGCGATCTCTCTCCTACTATTCATCTCCACCCTCTGACAAACAGAAGCTAGGGACACACCATTCCTTACCCATACTGGCTAATAGCCATTTGGACTTAACTAGATAAATTCATAGAGGTTCTCCTTTAAACCCTGTTATAGTCCTAGCCTTCACAACATCCTCAGGCAAGGAGTTCCACAGATTGACTATGCACTGTGTGAAGAAGAACTTCCTTTTATTTGTTTTAAACCTCCTGCCCATTAGTTTCATTTGGTGGCCCCTAGTTCTTATATTATGGGAACAAGTAAATAACTTTTCCTTATTCACTTTCTCTACACCACTCATGATTTTATAGACCTCTATCATATCCCCCCTTAGTCTCCTCTTTTCCAAGCTGAAAAG